AGGAGCTGCGTTAGAGTGCCTCGATGCGTGCAGCAGGGGTGAACGAGCGCATTAAGTCACGTCACTCGTGAGACATGAGCGCTATCTGGCAGTTATCTTTGAAAACGAAGTGCACGGTGTGCGCGCCTGTCTTGGAGGCGATAAGGTGTAGAACGCAAGGCGACGGGTAGGTGCCACCACCCTGTAGTCTTAGATAAAGCCCCTTAATCTTGGGAAAGTACCGCCATCCATTGTGCCCGCCACTACGCGCTCGTCCTCCTCTCTCCCCTCTCGCCCCCCTCCGCATCCTCCCGGTCTCCGACAATTTTTCTGCACGATGATTGGTCTCCTTCGCGGTTGCCCTTATAGACGCGTGGATCTTGCGCTTTGCGGCGTTTTTTTTTTTTTCGCTCGCACTATTTTTCGCCGACTCTCCGTGTACAAACCTAGCGCGCGCTTTGTCTTCTGCGCTTTGTGCGGGCGCTATGCCACGCTGTTGCTCCTATGACTGCCGCAACCAAAGTGAAAATGGTTGCGCACTATTTATGATACCCCAAGGTAAACTGACCCACATGTCGCGGGTTCGAATCTCTGCTGCGGCGGCTGCATTTCCAATGGAGGCAGAAATGTTGTAGGCCCGTGTGCTCAGATTTGGGGGAACGTTAAAAAACCCCAGGTGGTCGAAATTTCCGGAGCCCTCTACGACGGCTTCTCTCATAATCATATGGTGGTTTTGGGACGTTAAACCCCACATATCAATGAATCAAGGTAAACGGGATGGCGCAAACAGCAGTGGCTGCACAACATCAGCCGAAAAAAACTTCGTTCCAACAAAGAACAGTGTTCTTTGTGAGGTAAGCCACCTTTCTTATTGCTCAAATGAACGCATCGCTGACTGCTGCATTTGAAATGTTGTTTCGGCCTGCTCATCGACATGCGTGTTTTTACCGGTGGAGCTCCTGACGCCGTGGGTCGTATGTGCCGTGTCGTCGTAGTAGCTAGTTGCATTGCATTGGGTGTCAATAAAAACAGTGTCACGGCATATCCACGGAGTGAATAATGATGAGTGGGGCGAAGCGTCCATCAGTCCGTCCATGCTTCCGTGCGTCCGTCTATCCGTGTTTGCATCCGTTCATCCGCACGCATCGCCCCACTCGTCATCATTCAGCTCGTGGATATGCAGTGATTTTTTTCTCGGCTATTTGTGCGTTACTTCAAACTAGAATTGTCATCAATATGCTGCATTCTTTTGTTAGAAACAGAAGGAAAGTTGAATCATTTAACATTTTTATACAAAAATATATCAGGGAAAGTTGACTTAAATGTGCCTTGTTGTGTTTAGCCAGCCACTGCTAGGAATAACCGGCGTAAACCTGATCGATCCGTGGCACCCATATTTGCAGGAACTATGCTTACAAATGCAGTTATTTTCCCAGAACAGTTGATGACTGGAATTCACCGCCTCGTGAGACTTTTTCGGTGGACAATTTTGCTATATTGCTAGAAATTTATCTAGTTGGTGATTAGAGAATTCAAATGTGTTATAAATTTTGTTGCTTTAACGTACCAATACATGTTTTGTTTTTGTTTTTTGCCGTCACGAAGTGCTTGATGTTTCTTGTGCCCCTCCTGCCGAGACCAAAAATTCTGCTCTGTAGTATGTCTAAATAAATAAATAAAAAATATTCAGCTCGGACTGCATCACCTCGCAGGCACCTAGGCAATCATCAAAAATGCACAACTGTAATCTGCTTTCTCTGCGAAATATTACGTGGGATGACACAGCTTCCCTATCGCGCTTTTTGTTACTATTTGGTATTTGTTTACGAGAACGTTTGTTGCAGAAAACAAATGAATGGATGAATAGAGATGAAACTAATTGGCTCTCGTTTCCAGAAGGACATATACTTTGTTTTTGTTTTTTCACGCGGATGTGAATTAACACACAAAAATTGTGAAAGAGATGTGGTCCATCAAAAGAAGAAAATACAGAGGCGCAATGCAGAAAAAAGACATAGTAAGAGTGACAGCGAAAGTAAGCCATTTCGTAGGAGACCGTGGCCACAAACGTTTCGGTCGCGCCTGCATTAGCATGTCTTCGATTCACCGATAAGAAGCTATATTACCTTTTATAAAGGTGTCACATGGGTACTTATGACCGAGATCAGTCAGTCCGGAAAAAATTTTTCGGTCGCTATCGACGCGCAAAATATTATGACATTCCTGGTGCAGAGTTTCTTCTCTCACAAGTAACCCGATCGCTAGTTTTTTTAGGGGCGAAGCTCCTTATGGCGTGGCTTGGGCGTCCCTCGTATGTAACCACCAGTGGCACATACCCGAAATAGGTAAAACACTTGACCTCCAAGGTGGTGCCAGTGAGAGATTTCTTCTGTGCGTTGTTTAACAATAAAAAATAGTGCTCAATGTACATGCCAATGGCTGCTAATGGGGAATGCGAGACATGAGCATTCGGCTTTTAGTCAACGCGCACGCTGCGATCCCCATTAGCAGCCATTGGCATGTACATTGAGCACTATCGGACAAGAAAGGGATGCTACATTATACTGGCTGGGTGTAACCTCCTTAGCTTTAGAAAGGTTTAGCGAGCGTTGAGCCGCAGTGCCATGAATACAATGAACTTGTATATACCATGAATGAACTCAAGGTGGTTAAAAACGAGAAGTAGATACGAAGCGCAAGCCGTAAGAAAGTAAAAGCCGAATTCTCCTGTCTCTAATTTCTCATTAGCAGCCATTGGCATGTAAATTGAGCCCTATCTGACAGGGAAAGGTTGCTACGTTACACTCGCTGGGCGTAACCTCCTTGGTTTTCGAAAGGTTTAGCGAGCGTTTGGTCGCAGTGCCATGAATACAGTGAACTAGAATATACCATGAACTCGAGGTGGTTAAAGGTGGGAAGTGGACCCAAAGCGCAGGCCGTAAGAAAGTGTGCGTGTGCCACCTCTCGTTTAGTCCTTGGAATGTCCGCTGGATGGCGGTGCTTCTATATGGGGAATATATGATAAAAAGATGCGAGATGGTGGGACTTGGAGTGTTGAATAGATGAACGAACGGACACACAAACAGATGCATGGATGGACGCATGAACCGACGCAGGGGCGGATGCATGAAAGAACGCAGGGACGGGCGCACAAACAGACGCATGGACGGTCACACAGACGGACGCATGGATGGACGAATGCTTCGCCCCACTCTCCATCATTCACTCCGTGGATATGCTGCCATTTTTAACAACGTCAAAACAAAAATCTACATATTTACTTTCTTTTGTTTTTTTATTGTGGTAGATGAGTCACTATTGGCGACACTTAATCGTATTGGCATTGCTCAAAGGCCTGCTTCAGTTTGTAGACCACTGCGAAAATCTTTTTTCCGCGCCGAAAAGATGAACACATGGGTAAACGATCCACCAAACACCAAGTCATTGCAATATGTGACGCTGTAAGTACCTGTGTCGTATACTGGCGCACAAGCACAAAAAAAAATCCGAACACGGATGGACATGCCACAAGCAGAACTACATCAGATGAAAATGTACAGCGTGTTATCATGCGGCAGAAAAACATCCGCATCGTAGAACTCCCCATAAAATCTTTTATTTATTTAGCATGCCCCACCTATATAACCTTTGGAAAAAGCTAATCCTTTAACAAACAGTTTCCTTAGTGTTCCTAAATTTATTATCACGGTTTAAAAAAAATCAGCACTACTGTGGCGCGCAAGCTGCCGCTAATGACCCGCCTCCATTGCATTCTGCAGCGCGCCAGCGGGAGCGTCGCCCAAAAATGGCGCCACGTGCCGCGCGTACTGCAAGTGGGCGAGGAGAATCGAGGAGGAAACGTCCACGGGGAGGAGAGTGTCTTTACTTTCCCAAGATCAAGGGGTTTTAGTATTAGCAAAGCCGCTTGGCTAATCGTTGCCTTTTCGTGCAAGCCTCACATCGTCAACGCAGCGTGATAAGCGCTACGGTCCTTAGAATTACTTACGTATGCCTTTTCTAGTAAAAAACGTTAAAGAACCCCAGGTGGTCGAAATTTCCGGAGCCCTCCACTACGGCATCTCTCATAATCATATGGTGGTTTTGGGACGGTAAAACCCACATATCAATAAATCTTTTCTAGTAAAAAACACATATACAGAATATTGACGTGTTGTTATTGTGGCTCGCATATGCGCAATGATTGCTTTTTAATTAACAATCACACAATTATGAACGCTAAAACTTGAGCAGTATTGGTGGGCGCTGCGGATGGTGTCGGTCGTTTAAAGTGTCGTTTGGTGCCGTTTGGCATATTTACGGCGGACAAACAGACAATTGCACAGACAGACAGAGACAGACTAAACTTTTGCGTCGAAGGTCTAAAAAAAAAAAAAAGACTATCGTCTTTAACGTAGTTGATCGGTGAGTTGGTACGACATGACTCACATAAAAAACAGGGTCAATAACGAGGGCCTAGAAAAGAAGGAGACAGACATCGGCACTGTCTGTCTCCTTATTTTCTTGTTCCTCGTTATTGGCACTATTTTTTATGTGTATCGTCTTTAACAATTAGTGATTATTGTCCGATTCAGTATATACACGAATTCATGAAGCCGCAATAAATACGTAACTACGCGCAAATACGTACACTATACCTCTATAATAAAACATGCATTATCCTCGGGTGTTTACTTTACCTTGAATTTGGACCAAGTATGTTTTAATTATTCACTATAACAATAATATTGCAATATTTCGTTGTTGTTCAAGCGAGAACAAGGCGAGGATCTTGTGCTTACGTTTTGCTTCAATCACACAGCCAAACTCACCGCAAGCACCTAATAGAGAGCAGGTGTGGAGAACCATACACCTCCGAAAAAATAATTGTTCGGCTAATCAGTGGTGCATAACTAGCTTTGACATAATTTCGAAACCATATAAGACATTACTTCACTTCGTGCACAACAGTGGTCTAATGGCGCACGTCTAATACACATGCAGTGGTCCTCTTTTTTAGACAGAGAAAGTGAGAGAAACGTAGTGTTTTGATACAGAGATTATCATTGGGCCTTTTGGAAAAACCTTTTTTGCCTGTGTGATCATGTCACCAAAATACCTCAAAATGTATATTTCGGTTAAAATATATATATGTTGCCCGCTATCATGGGTACTCGAGTGTAAATTTGGATTTTACTGGTCTGTAGTTAGCTCGAAAAAAATTGGCAGATCCCACGTACAATCGATGGCATGCAAAGCACGTATAAGGAAAGTTGATATATCACTTTAAAATTAGCCCGACGTTGCCGGGCGGACGTAAATTATGCTGTACACAACTTCCATGTAATTATTATCATGTTTGGACGTGTCATTTACTTTCGTCGTCTATTGACGTCACGTTGTACTAAATTTGGTATATGTGGAGCTAGCGAAACGGCAGCGAGCGTACTATGAGCGTAGCATTTAGTCATGTTTTACATAGCAAGCATATGATGACTATCAAGTTTGAACGTGTCATTTCCTTTCGTCGTCTATTCACGTCAGTGCCATTTTTTGGGCGTGTTGGTAAAGGGAGCTTGACGACATATTGAGCGCTAAGAGACAGGGACAGGAGAGAGTGGACACCACAATGCGCTAACTTCAACAATTTTTATTTTCAGGAAACGCGAACCTATAAATCCGTGTACAGTGGCGCCACCAGTCTAACCACTAGCCCAGCAGAAAAGCCCTTTCTCGATCTAACAAGTCAACTGACGGTGCACTTACACATGCGTCACCTTTGCGAAAGATAGCATGGGCTTCAATTATCTCTCGCACGTCTTTGTCTTTATGCTTCGCCAGAACACTGCAGGATGCGTACAAGGGTGTGCAACCACATTCCACGCAATGTACTGACAAATGGCCATAATTATTCTTGTTTTTAACATTGAGCTTATGTTCACGAAGACGGTCATTAAGGCATCTACCCGTCTGACCTATACATATACCACCACAAGTCAGAGGAAGCCCATAAACTACCCCTTCAACACACGCCACAAAATGATCGCGATGCTTCTTGGAGCAACCGACAGCAGGCTTGCGGTGCGGGTCCGTCAAGCGACTTATCCTGCCAAGCTTTTGTGGTGCTGAGAATACTACTTTAATGCCCACTCGACTAGCTACTTTCTTCAGGTTATGAGCAGTTTTGTGCAGGTACGGCACTACTGCAACTCTGCTCCTACTCACTGCCGGTTGGATGTCTGCTTCCCGAGGGCGACTGTCCACCCGGCATTTTTTAAGCAAACCCTCGACAACAGACACCTGTATCGACTCTGGGAAACCTGCTGCGGATAACCTCTCCGACTGACTCATGACACTTTTCTGAATTTTATGATGGCAAGATTTCCGCAATGCGTTCCCAAAACACAGATTGGCAATGCTTCTTTTTACTAGCTTCGAGTGAGCAGATTGGTATGGCAATAGGGGCTTATTAGCTCTGGGCTTGTATTCCCAACACGTGTGCTGCTGCTTGAATTCCAATTCAATGTCTAAAAACCGCAGCACGCTATCGGTTGGCTCTTCTACTGTAATAACGAGTGGGCTAAGGCAAGCAGAAAAAACAGCTTCGAGTTGACTTACTGCTACGTTTTCTTCACGCTCGAACAAGACAAGGTAATCGTCCACGTATCTCACAACTTTTGCCACCCTGTGCTGTGACAAGACATGTGCCAGATTTCTATCATGGTGGGCCAGAAAAATGTCACTCAGTACCGGCGCCAAACAGGAGCCGATACAGATGCCCTGCTTCTGAAGGAAAGTTTTTCCATTCCACGTGGCAAATGTCGAGCGGAGATATAAGCGAAGCAAGTCTAAAAAGCATTGAACCGAAATCTCGGCTGAGTTTTGAAACGCAACCACACCAAAGCTGTCAATACATTCTTCCACGCGCTCGATTAGTTCATTTTGAGGCAAAGAATAATATAAATCTTTTATGTCAAAGGAGCAGGCGAAAAAACCTTTGTCTGGGTTACTCTTCAGGAAATCTAATATTTCCCCGGAATGCCTAATCAAAAAGGGGTCGTCAATTTTAAGAATACCGAGCCTTTCTTGCAAGAAAAGGGCTAGGTTCTTCTGCCATGACCCTATTTCCGAAACTATTACCCTCAATGGCCATTCAGGCTTGTGCGTTTTCGCGCTAAACATAATATCAAGGCTATCTTTCTTGGCTGCGTCAATATCGTGAAACAATCTACTGAGGCCCAAATTTTTACAGAGACGTTTTGTTTCAAGTTTTACCTTCCTAAGAGACACATTATTGCACTCATTAAAAACTTTGGCAACTGCAGAACAGGCTCTCTCGTCATAGTCACCTTCCCCTAGGACAACAAATCCGCCCTCCTTATCCGCTGGCAGAACGCACAGTCGCTTCTGCTTCAAGAACGACACAACACGGCTTACAGGCACCCGTGAAGCCCCAATATTCTTCCGCGAGATCACATCAACCCCTTCCGATATACATCGATTCGCTTCACCTTCCGGGGCACACTTTGATATCCGTCGCACAAGGCTCAAAAGTTCCGGCGCACTCAACCGTGGCTCGACGGCGAACTTAGGTCCAAGTTTAAGAGCATTTTCAACGTAGTCTGGAAGACTAACCTGGCCGGTGGTTCTGACGCTGCATGTGGTTGGAACTGTCTTCTTTGGGATGCTGGCACGTAAGCCTGGCAGAGTCTGCTTCCACATGAATTCCGTGCCGCTGCTGACGATCGCTAGAAGATTCTTCCACTCCCTGGTGGCATGTCGTGTCCTTCCTGGATCTTCCAAGGAGGTCTTGAGCAGGTCCTTTAACATCCGAGCCTGCCTGTGCCACTCACTCCTAAGAATCTTGAGGACTCTGATGCCATGCCCGGCTGAAGGAGCGAGTCCACCAAACAACCGCACGACTTCATCCGGTAGGTGCTTGCAGCGAATGAAGAAGGAAAGGGAGCGAGCTTGGCAGTTGGCATGAATCAAGAGGGGAGCAACTGAACACGGATTGTACGAAGAACAGAGAAAAGAGCCCGATGTACTAGAAATAAATTTTAGCAGTGCCATTTTTTGGGCGTGTTGGTAAAGGGAGCTTGACGACATATTGAGCGCTAAGAGACAGGGACAGGAGAGAGTGGACACCACAATGCGCTAACTTCAACAATTTTTATTTTCAGGAAACGCGAACCTATAAATCCGTGTACAGTGGCGCCACCAGTCTAACCACTAGCCCAGCAGAAAAGCCCTTTCTCGATCTAACAAGTCAACTGACGGTGCACTTACACATGCGTCACCTTTGCGAAAGATAGCATGGGCTTCAATTATCTCTCGCACGTCTTTGTCTTTATGCTTCGCCAGAACACTGCAGGATGCGTACAAGGGTGTGCAACCACATTCCACGCAATGTACTGACAAATGGCCATAATTATTCTTGTTTTTAACATTGAGCTTATGTTCACGAAGACGGTCATTAAGGCATCTACCCGTCTGACCTATACATATACCACCACAAGTCAGAGGAAGCCCATAAACTACCCCTTCAACACACGCCACAAAATGATCGCGATGCTTCTTGGAGCAACCGACAGCAGGCTTGCGGTGCGGGTCCGTCAAGCGACTTATCCTGCCAAGCTTTTGTGGTGCTGAGAATACTACTTTAATGCCCACTCGACTAGCTACTTTCTTCAGGTTATGAGCAGTTTTGTGCAGGTACGGCACTACTGCAACTCTGCTCCTACTCACTGCCGGTTGGATGTCTGCTTCCCGAGGGCGACTGTCCACCCGGCATTTTTAAGCAAACCCTCGACAACAGACACCTGTATCGACTCTGGGAAACCTGCTGCGGATAACCTCTCCGACTGACTCATGACACTTTTCTGAATTTTATGATGGCAAGATTTCCGCAATGCGTTCCCAAAACACAGATTGGCAATGCTTCTTTTTTACTAGCTTCGAGTGAGCAGATTGGTATGGCAATAGGGGCTTATTAGCTCTGGGCTTGTATTCCCAACACGTGTGCTGCTGCTTGAATTCCAATTCAATGTCTAAAAACCGCAGCACGCTATCGGTTGCTCTTCTACTGTAATAACGAGTGGGCTAAGGCAAGCAGAAAAAACAGCTTCGAGTTGACTTAATGCTACGTTTTCTTCACGCTCGAACAAGACAAGGTAATCGTCCACGTATCTCACAACTTTTGCCACCCTGTGCTGTGACAAGACATGTGCCAGATTTCTATCATGGTGGGCCAGAAAAATGTCACTCAGTACCGGCGCCAAACAGGAGCCGATACAGATGCCCTGCTTCTGAAGGAAAGTTTTTCCATTCACGTGGCAAATGTCGAGCGGAGATATAAGCGAAGCACGTCTAAAAAGCATTGAACCGAAATCTCGGCTGAGTTTTGAAACGCAACCACACCAAAGCTGTCAATACATTCTTCCACGAGCTCGATTAGTTCATTTTGAGGCAAAGAATAATATAAATCTTTTATGTCAAAGGAGCAGGCGAAAAAACCTTTGTCTGGGTTACTCTTCAGGAAATCTAATATTTCCCCGGAATGCCTAATCAAAAAGGGGTCGTCAATTTTAAGAATACCGAGCCTTTCTTGCAAGAAAAGGGCTAGGTTCTTCTGCCATGACCCTATTTCCGAAACTATTACCCTCAATGGCCATTCAGGCTTGTGCGTTTTCGCGCTAAACATAATATCAAGGCTATCTTTCCTTGGCTGCGTCAATATCGTGAAACAATCTACTGAGGCCCAAATTTTTACAGAGACGTTTTGTTTCAAGTTTTACCTTCCTAAGAGACACATTATTGCACTCATTAACAACTTTGGCAACTGCAGAACAGGCTCTCTCGTCATAGTCACCTTCCCCTAGGACAACAAATCCGCCCTCCTTATCCGCTGGCAGAACGCACAGTCGCTTCTGCTTCAAGAACGACACAACACGGCTTACAGGCACCCGTGAAGCCCCAATATTCTTCCGCGAGATCACATCAACCCCTTCCGATATACATCGATTCGCTTCACCTTCCGG